TACATGTCGGGCCAAAAGAAGTTGGTGATCATCAGCGTTAACAGTGATGGCCTGGCCAACGTTGTTCTCAAAGAATAATGGACCGATGGCGCCACCAGCCCAAAATCCACCCGAAACAGTGACTTTTTCGAAATGCATTGGACGCTCTTGGATCTCATATGGAATGGTATCGTTCCAAATTCGACAGTTTTGTTTGTTCACGTACCCATTCATCCAGAAATGGGCTGCATCGCTGAAGATGATTTTTCGATGAAAATTAAAGTCTCTTGCCAACCGCTCCAGAGCCCATTTAGCGAACACACGTCGTTGTCTATGGTCGTTTACCTTCAGTTCCTGGATCAGTTGTATTTTGTATGGGTGCAGGCCCAAGTCACGACGCGAAATTTGCCTGTGCCCAGCGATTTTTTTGGCAGATCTTGCGTTTTTTCGACGTACAGGGTTGGTTGATCGTTTGTTTACTGAGTCAGTGTACTAAAATTTATCCACCACATTGCGAATAGTTCTCTCGGAAGGACGATTATGGTGACCGTAAAATGGGTGAAGCCTGCGGTACGTTGCCCGAACAGAATACCTATTTTGATAAAACAATTTTATACTTTGCACATTTGACAGATGTAACTTCAACAACATGGCCGTTATTAATTTGTGAAAGTTTACTGAATGAATTCAATGAAAGGGAATGGAAGGGAGAAATAAATCATGGGACATGAAAGACAGTTGTGGACAGTTAATGTTTGAATTGTGTAGATGAATTATTCTGAAGAAATGAAGGTCAGATTCCGAGATAATTAGTAGGTTATGAAGTTTTTTCATAGTTTACAACTGGATATCACACAGCATAATTTAGTAGAACCAAACAGTGACGAATTTTAGATTTCGAATTATAAACTTCGTAGAAATTGTTACCATCGAATTCAACTATGTTGTATAAATTTCTGTTCTTTCACATAAGTGTTTTGATAAGTCATTCTGCTCATTAGTGCTCACAAAGTCTTTTAAAATTCGAGATAGAAAACATATCGTATTGGATTAGACACAGACAATCAATAATTCAAAAGAATATATTCACAGTTGAAATAGAAACATCCTACTTGAAAATGATCACTGGATGATTGAAACACGTGTCGAGGTGTTGGTGTTGGGATAAAGCTGCAGTAATATTTAGTCTGTATTTTGATAAAAAATTGTGAGTTACACAAATACTGAACATTCCTTCAATGAAATACTTTCCTCACTTGTTTTACGTCATACTGTTTTCAATACTTCAAAATATGATATGATACAGTACTCCACACCTACTACGTTACCTTATTTTGTTTTCGATAGCGATCGCCCCGTATAGTAGCTATCAACATCACTATCCATCCAGATCAAATCTCTATTACTCATTCTTTCTCGCACAAGCCTACTTTTTGTTCGAGTGTGGTCATTGGTGTGCCAGTTTCCGCGATTTCTTGACTGTTTTCTCGGTCAAAGAACAGTGGTCACTTTGTGCGCGGCCTTACAGTTATGTGACACTTCATTGTTTCGACACTAATTGCTCCGGAAGAGAAATATGGCCGGAAAGACGTTCGTTTTGTTTGAACTGCGCTTGGGTTACCAGATAATGGTAAATACGCTAATCAAAATAGGTTAGACAACACTTATAAATACCGAAGATCGGTGGAGATAAAATTCTTTTTTGGCAAACATCTTTTAATTTTTCTCAAATAAAAAAGTAAGTTAGAAAACTGAAACTCGATTTCTGAAAAAATTGCGCTATAAAAAGTATGGAACAAAAAATGTTCTGATCAGAAATTGTAATATAGGCTTTCACGGCTGTCGTCAGTATTTTGGTTGGTTTCCGGGTTTTGCCGTGGCCTCCTTTGATTACAATCTCCAAACGTTTCAGCTGCAACTGCGGCAGTCATCTTCAGTACGTGGACGAAGTACTCTTCTTGATGTGTCAACTGAAGCTTTCGTCCAGTTCACCATGGAATTAGAAGAAAAACTCCAGATCCCATTCCTTGATGTTTTAGTCTTCAAAGAAGGTACTCAACTAGTCCGGTATACAGAAAGAAAACACACACTGATCGATATCCACATACTGGATCTAGCCATCATCCAAAACAGAAACGAACCGTCATCAACACTCTAATGAACATAACTTTGATAATATGTAAAGAAAGTTACGTCGATGACGAAATAAAACTCCTAATAACTGTGTTACAAGCGAACGACTACGACAGAAACTACATAATCCGCCCTACGTGTCCGAGGGTCACCAACCAAATCGGAAAAATTCTAAAGAAGGAGAAAATCAACATCGTCTTCAAATCAACGAAGATAATATGGAGTATCTTAGATAAGCAAAATACATCAGAGATCCACTCAAATCAGCGGGAGTTTACAGAATTCCATGTAACTGTGGTAAAGTCTATATCGGTCAGATGAAAAGAAACTTTGGTACGTTTTCGTTTCGGAACGTAAATTCTGCGTACTCTGCTGTCAAATTCATACTATGACAGTCTGACAATTATGATATCTTATATACAAAACTCAACATGACTTGTTGGTGCTTAGTGCAGTATGTTTTCTTACAAATTTTATACTGCTGATAAATGTAAATATAATAATATGTAATGGATCTTTGCTTTGAAAATATAAATATATACTTATACAATTTACTCACCTAAGTTTCATGAAATTGATATCACATGCCATTTGTGGTTGTCCCGCGAAACGAAAAAGTCTTTGCTAAAGATGACTGTATCGGTTAAACCAAGTTCTGATAATGATGGAAAATATGAAATGTTTTACAGTTTATGCGAATATAGATTAAAAAAAGCTATCAATAAAAAATAAAAAATGAGCAAAGAGAAAGCACATTGCTTTTAAATTAGTATAATGCAAGATCTTCAATGTGTAGAGTACACATTTTTTATCGATCAGTATATAAAACGACACAGTATAAGAAATTGGTATAGAGCTACAAAAACACATGACATAACGGAGGAAACTTTTGAAATAACCCAATAGATTCAACCTATGAAAATGATTCCAACCACACGTTTTGAATATTTAATATGAAAGTATTATTCTTGTAAAGCGTGGTGAAATGTTCAAAAGACTTGGCCATGAAGGATGTCGTAAAACATCAAAAGGATTGTTCCGCGTCATAGGCGTTCACCTTTTTTGTAGAAAATGAAATTAACTAATTTTTTTTTAATGAGTGAAACTCATTTAGCGGAAGTTTTATTGCACTGGGCTTGCAGCAAAATGCAGCAACAAATATAATGTTTTCTTCGATCAATATGAGCAATATGATGATCGAAGTCCGGGTTGAACCGTGTTTTTAGTAGTTCGATGTTTTGGCTTCGACATTGGAGCAATTTTCAAGAAGCTATCACTACACTGAGGTTTCAGTATGCCTACTCCTCAAATAGTGACAGGCTGTAAAGGTTTTGTGACTTGATCCCAGGGTCTCAATCGGCATACTCCTCAGGTAGTGATACGCTGTAAGGATGTTGTGACTTGACGCCAGGGTCTCAATCTGCCTACTCTTCAGGTCTCATCGCTGGTCTCTACATAAGTCTCAATCTGCCTACCCCCAAGCGTCGACGCTCTAGATGTATACAGGATGGGGCAAGGTCCCTCTAAACCGAACCATATATCGATTAAGACTGCAAAAGGAAATTATTCTGGAGTCTACAGGGTGGCTCAAAAATGTGGCATCAAAGTAGTGTTGTTTTGAATGGAACATCCTATATTTCGTTACACTTTTGAACAAGTCAGGAAAAAATTACGATTTCATGCGAGGTACTATGTACCTAACTATAACCGTTCTCGAGTTATTGTTTTTTTTATGAAAATGCTAGGTACAATTGGAAACTGAATAATATCGAATGTTTTGAATAACGTAAAACACAATAGCTGTCAATAGGAATTCTTTCAACGAATTGAATAAATGTCATTTCAAAGCTATTTTGATTCAAAGAATGCATTGAGATGGGAACTACTATTTGAAAAAGCCAATATCTGAAAAAATGTTATGACAGGATAGGTATAGGGAACTCAATGAAAAGAAAATTTAATGTTATTATATTGTTCAGACCAAAAAAATACAAGATGTTTTATTTGAAATAACAAATTTATTTCATTAGTTCGGACTTCCATTGTCCATGATATAAATTGATTTGAAATCCCTGAAAGAAACTATAAAAATTATAAAGATCAGCTGAAAAATAACAATTATATCAAGCAAAAAAACTGAAATTACAATGAAATAAAATGCAAGCAACAATAAAAAAAATGGAACAATTGACACGAGATGAAAAATAAAAATCATTAACAAGAATTGAACAATTAAAAGATTCAAAGTCAAGTTATTCCACGACGTTTCGATTGTTAGAATCCACAATCATCTTCGGGTGATAACTGGACTTATTCCTCCGAGATCTGACTATTTATAGGTCATTCGAGTGCTTTCACTTATTCTTCTTTCCACTCCATCGGTTTTAGCGGGAGTTGGCCGTTTGGCGGAAGTTGGTCGAGTTCCGCTTAATTATAGGTTGCCATATGTTGCGTATCTCTACGCTAGCTTGGCTAGCGTATAGATACGCAACATATGAATTGTTGAGTTTATAGGCAAGTTACTGACTAATTGGACTATCAATTTTTTTACATTACGAAGTAACTTTTCGGGGTTAAATTTTCACTTTGCACTTATCGCATATTCTTCATCAATTTATATCGGTTTTTTTCAGATTGTGGAAGGTTAAATAGTAAAATGAAATAATATTATTTCAAATCGAATAATTCAAGGTTGCCTCTGCCGATAAATCATATTTTGTTTATTGAATAACGTCATTCTTCACAGGTCAAGTTAGTTTATCAAATAACGGTTGCAACTCGAACAAAGATGCCCCAAAAGTTATACCCGCTTTCCATGCATGGTGATGTGTAATGAATAAATTATGATAAACACAATTTTAGCAATTCACATTCATGACAGTTGAACGTTGTACGGTGGCAACTTGAATAGCCGTCGAGTCGTGTTTCATACATGATGTTTTTATCTTTCTACAACTGCCCGGCAAAAATTATTCATGAAATTAAAATTGCTGAAAGAGTCTTCCTGTGTTTTCCATTCAATTTCGACTTCTCGAGTCCAGCATTTCGTTGAAGAAAATCAACAATTGCTTGACTATCGTCGGATTTGAACTCGCGGCAGCTAGTTGTCTCTAACGAACTCGTGCGATTTATAGCACGGTCAAAGGTAATACGTCAAAATTCCTCTCAAGAACAGTGATTCATTAAAAGGAATAGACGAGCAATCCGAATATTCTACTCATAAAAAACAAAAAGTAAACAGAATTCTGTGTCGAGAAGAAAAAAACAAATATTTTGCTAAACTAAAAAAGTATAGAGTAAACTTAATTATTTTCACTCGGCCTCTTTGGCGGTTACTAAATGAAATGGTAAATTTTCACTTCGGATTTTACTTCTTCTTTTTTTGTTTCAGGCTCTGAACTAGTACCCTGCCCTGTTGAAAATGTCTATGAGTGGATACACATGTATACGTTTAGTTTTTTGCTGGGTGAACGTCCTTTTTTGGGTGAGTACGATTTTCAAACTAAATATTTCTATCATGGTTCGATTTTTTACGAGAATAGACGATCACGGCGAGAAAAATTCTCAAAATGTTCTAAAAGCAAGAAAATGGCGTTTTATGTAAAATTCAAATCCCTGTAGATGGGACTTTCTCTCCGGCCACGACATCCACGTGCCACGTGGCCGGAGTGCAGTCCAAAAGTTGTGAGCTCAAAATACGTTGTAATCAAAAATGAAGTCGTGTTTGAATAAATATGAAGTTAAATATGAGACGTCTGGCGACCCTCTATGCCAGTAACCAGGCTGGATGTCGACGGATTCGACGGGTTCATCAGTTCTATAAAATATATGAACATCCTGAGAAGGAGACAACCAGTAAAATAATTGAAGAGTTTTTGTCAAAAAGAAAAGTGAATGAAAAAAATTAGGGTGGCAGCATTACCTGAAGAAAAACAGTTGCGCCTCTGGACGAAGCTTCTGGTCACTATGAACAGGAGGAGCCTGGCCAAATGATAAGATAAGATAGGATAATTTATTTCACCACGTTACATAATAAAATGTTTGTAGCAAGTCAAAAAAATAGCATGAAAGTAATTTGTTAACAATCAAAATATTATAAAAACAAACAAGAAACACAAATAAAAAAATATAAGAACAAAATTGAGTATGTATGTTGACATTTCAAACATTTAAAATGATTCACGTATTCGTCGACAGAATAGAGCCAAAAATTCAACAGATAATTTTTCATTGCTTTTTTTAATTTGGACGTACTAAAAATCGGGAAGATAGTTGCAGAGGTTGAAATTCAGTGTGTTTTTCTGTGATTCACTCAAACGATAGCGGTTTGTCCGAAATTTGTTACATACAATGTTTCGTATTAAAGTCATGAAGGTCTGATTTCTTGATTGATGAAGTTGATTTTTCATGAATTTCTATGAGAACGTTGTACAAAAATAATGTGGGTAACGGCATTATTCTCAATTTCAAAAAAAGAGGTAGACAATGATCCCTATAACTAGAATTAGTAATTATTCTGAGACTTTCTTCTGCAAATTGAAATTTTTTACAGCCCCAATTGAGTTGCCCCAGAGTATAACACCATAGCTAATGTGAGAATGGAAAAGGGAGAAATATGTTATATGTGCCCGAATGAGAAGCAATAACTATAGAAATCAAAGAGAGATCCCTGTAGATTATATTCATGTTCAAACAATCTCGAAAAGTTCATTCCACTAGCTCGAATTGTAATCTCAATCTGCCAGTTCCCGCTTGGGAGTAGGCAGATTGAGACCACTGTTAAGACCAGTAACGAGACCTGGAAAATAGACAGCTTGGAATCCTGGAGTCACAAATCCTATGCTTTGCAGACCAGTTAAGATACAAATTTCGAAACTTTTTGGACGGCAGTAACTGAGAAACGTGTACTCTTATATCACTGCAACAAAGTTTTTGAGATTTATTTATATAGGCCGTGTTTTATACAGTGTGTAACAACGAAAACTTAACAGATCCGTTTTTGAATATGAAAAGTAAGATTTTTTAAAAAAAGTTCGGACACATCGATTTCTAATTAAAGGGGGACACCTTTCAGACTAATCAGATTTTTTGTAGTACGCACCCCCTCGGAGGGGTGCGTCCGACGACCCTTATTTAGATAGGGAAAGTAGGTCGCGTGGCACCTTGTTTTAAAGGTCTTTCGAATAACTTTACAAATCTGTTAAAAGAAAATTTTTGTAACGATTAGTTTTCGAGATAATTTGAAGTTAAAATTGCCATGTTAATAATGTATTAGACAAACCACTCGGTAACTTGTATGCCTAAATAAAAAAAATTTCTAGCAGTTCTTCTTATCAGTTTTTTGTTAAATGAAATCCCTTTTTTAAAATCAATACCCACTCCTCTTCTTCCAGTTTTTACTAGTACATCGTTCGACTGTTTTGTTTAAACGGGTCGTGTATTGTTATTTGTTAAAAAATGCCTTACACTACTGCTGAAAGGGTTTCAGTTATTGCTTTATTTTTTGGCAACGACCAAAATGCTAATAGAACATCAATTTTGTTTAACGAGCAAACCCTGGTAAACACCTAAGCAGAAATCACGTTCTGGATTTGGTCACAAAATTCAGGGAGACAGGTTCGGTTTTAAATAAGAAAAGAAATGTTCAGAAAAGGGTAGTGAATGACGATAATGCGATTGGAGTGATTGGTCAAGTCATCGCCAATCCCAGGTTAAGTACCAGTGGTTTATCAGCAATGGCCGGAATAAGCCATATGAGTGCATGGAGAATCCTTAAAAACCACAAATTCCATCCTTACAAAATTAAACTTGTTCATGAACTCAATGAGGATAATTTTGACCGAAGACAGGAGTTTTGTGAGGGCATAAGTGAGAGATTAATGCAAAATCCCGAGCTCATTTTATTTAAAGCTCATTTTATTTAAATGGTTGCGTGAACCGTCACAATTGCCGTTATTGGTCGGATGAAAACCCAAGACAATACGCAGAAATACATACCCAACATCCCGAAAAGTTGAATGTCTGGGCCGGAATATTAGGCAATCATTATTCATTGATGGAAATTTCACCGGTGATTCTTATTTACAACTTCTTGAAGAGGCAATACAACCTCGTATAGATGAAATAATTGAACAGGATCCAAGATGTCAAGATGAATTTATCCATTTTCAACAAGACGGTACACCACCCCATTTTGCCCAGCAGGTTCGAAATTTTTTGAATAATCATTTCGAAGGACAATGGATTGGCAGAAGAGGTCCAATTGAATGGCCAGCACGATCACCAGATTTAACACCACTGGACTACTTTTTGTGGGGATATTTAAAGTCTATGCTACACAGCCAGCCAATTTGGATGAATTACGTCGTAGAATTATTGATGAATGCCAAGCTATAACTCACTTTTTTATCAGAAGCATAAAATATCCACGTCAAAAGGCAACCTTCATAAGGAGGTGCCACTCAATTTACCTAAAATGTAAGGGTGGTAACCAACCCCATCCCCCGAAAAAATCTCTTGGTTTGTCATAAAAAGCAAAAATTAATTTTTTTTATGAAATTTCTGAATGTAAATTGTACTTTAAAAACAATTTGATTTATTTTAAAAAGCGTTGAACTCAATAAAAATACCTTTAAATCTTCGAATTATCTCGAAAACTAATCGCTACAAACATTTTCTTTTGACAGAGATGTAAAGGTATTCGAAAGACCTTTAAACAAGCTGCCACTCTACCTACTTTCCCTATCTAAATAAGGGTATTCAGACGCACCCCTCCGAGGGGGTAGGTACTACAAAAAATCTGATTAGTCTGAAAGGTGTCCCCCTTCAATTAGAAATCGACGTGTCTCAGCTTTTTTTAAAAATCTTACTTTTTATATTCAAAATCGGCTTTGTTAAGTTTTTGTTTTTACTCACTGTATGTGATCACACTATTGCTATCTCGGAAACGGTAAGACCTGCAAGATCGGTTAAATTGTACGAAAATTTACTATTTTTGGGAACTATGATAATTTTTTTTTAGATCAAGAATTTCAGTGGTTGTTTTTAAAATATTCGTCAAAAACTGGAATTATCGGATTTGGTTTTTTGACTCGACCGCCTCCATTTTGAACGATATAAAAATTCAATTGGAATTTTCAATAATGTTCCATGTTTGTTATGATCGATATAAACCAATTTACAATGCGACGTTTCATTCTTTAGATTTCATCATCAACTCAATGTTTTACACAACACATGTATTGCAATACATAGCTGAATTTGTCATTACAGTGCTCACAAAAATAGATGAAAAGACTAGAGATTCCCCTATATCACACCCGAAGTTTCAATGATACACAGATACAAAACCTGAGACTGGAATTCACAAGAAGAAATAGTTCAGATCAACGTATTCAACTTACTACCAGTAAGATCGAATATCTTCAAGGCACATTTGTCAAAGAGGACATCTTTCTATCATTAACTCAACTGTCATAACTCCCCCCCCCCGCCCCTTGGTAACCATCACCCTTGTAAGTTGAATATTGAATATACTCAGTGGAAAAATAATCTCTATTATTATACATTCTCAGCATCAAATTGATCAATACTAGTTTTCAAATGAAATCCATATAAGTTTGCATTTTTTTTTTAAAGAAATCGAAAGACTTTTTCACTTCTATTCCTATTTAAAAAATTGGATGAAGGAAAATAGGGATGAAGGGATTTTAGGTTAAAACTTGTGTCCGTTCTGCAGCACTTTTTCAACGAGTCACCCTGTATAAGCCAGTTGATACTGGGTATATATTGGAATATGAAAATTTTGACAATGGGTTCCACTGTACGGTTCTGTATGTTCATAATTATGTAAACAAGAGTGTTAAATCGGGGAAAAATGTATTTTTATTTGTACGTTATTTCAATTTCTATTTTCTTACATGAGACAAACTCAACTTTCTGTCATTTTTTGTGATAACCTTCCTGCGGGTATTCAAGGTTTGGTTGTTATCTGTACAAATTTTCCTTGCTACGGAATGGTCAGCTGTTGTGAAAATTATTAAAACATTACCGTGTATGAACAATTATAATGCTTTATTTTTATGCTGTTTTGAGGACCTTGAATACAAAATTACATCGTTAAATATAGGCTATCAAACCAACGATATTTTTGCCTTCATATCTCGAATTTATCAGAAACCCACTACACGCCGTAGTTAGAAGTTTTGCTATATGCATATTCAGGTATTCATTTCAAATTTTTAGATATCTATTCAATTTTAATTTTTTTTGTTATAGTCTGCTGCCTTAATGAATGTAAGGTAGATATGTGGATCTATTCGACCCTTCACTGCAACCTAAAAATTAGCTCAAACTGACTGATTCGATAAAGTTTTGCTATTTCAAATAATTTTAAACAGTGGCGTACACCGATTTTTATCATAAATATTAATCAAGTAACCCTCTGCGACGCCACTGGAATTGAAATTCCAAATCTGATTTCATGAAAAGAAGCCCCTTGTTACTGCTAACAAACACATCAAGTTTCATTAAAATCGGCGAAGAGACTTGTGTTATTAATAAAAAAACATATGAACCTTTCTCCATAAAATGACAAGTTATCACCGCCTGAAATTAATGGCATCATTAAAGATACACCTTGTATATTCTACGTCAAAGACAGATATAAATATTTCTGAGATATCTTGGGAGTTACAATTTTTTTCGTTGAATTTACGAAATCAATTGCGAAACGATATTTGATACAGGAAACATGGCAATGTTACCAACAGAGAATATTTGACAAATATGTAACAAATATTAATAACAATTACCACGTTCCCATTTCCTACCATTGTGGTACGTGAATAAGTTGGGTAATTGTTTGAGTAGTGTATTAGTAACCTGCGTGTGATGGTTCCGTTCTCACGTATCGAGAGTAAATTAGAACTTCACGGTGTTTAACCAACATTAGCGCAACTGATTTTGTCATTCGGGTGAAAATCGTTAAAAATATCGGATAATGTCGGGACATTTCATTTAACATAGAACTCGGTTTAATTTATCATCTCTTCTCATTCTGATGGCAAATTTATGAGGCATTCTCCCTAACTCCTCAATAGTCCACAAGAAGAAATTAAAGAGTTTTGTGAATCACTAAGGTTAGGTTAGGTAAGGTCAAAAGTGAGTGGGTCTATTCAACCCTCCACTGCAATTGTGGCTCACGCCTATTCACACTCGACCAAATGAAGCCAGCTTCTTAACAAAGCCGATAAGTTTGTACGGTGAGTGGTCTTTCAGGTCAGATGTTAAGAGTACGGCTCTGCCGAACTCTAAACACCTGATTGGGTCCCCAGCGGGGCAGGAGCAAAGTCTGTGCTCTGGTATTTCATCATTTACCGAACCGAGGCGACACTCACTGTCTTCCGACAGTCCGATTCTCTGCATATGATGATTCAAATGACAGTGACCCCTAAGAAGGACTGTTAGGCATCGTGATTCATCCCTACTGTAGTCCAACCACTGTTTGGTATCAAGCTTCGTAAGGTGAATAAACACCTTAGGGTGAGCCAATCCTGGAAGAATCTGCTAGAAGTCCATAAATCTTCTTGCCATCCAGATGTTCAATATTTGTTTGGCAAAGCCTACAGCAATGCCAATGACATGTTCTGGACCAATAAAGCTGCTTGCAGCACCCTCCTTTGCAAGGGAGTCAGCACCCTCCTTGCCTTCCAGGCCAGTATGGCCAGGAATCCAGAGCAGAGACAATCTGTTAAAAAATTCCTATTCCAGATAGTCGTTTTTGGCAATTTGTTACCAATTTGAACGTTGCTTGGCAGGAGCCAAGAGCTTCCAACGCCGCTTGACTGTCCGAGAATATTTTTATTGACTTGTGTATGAGGTTGGATTCTTCCAATCTGTCCGCACATAATTCAATAGTGTAAATTTCCGCTTGAAATACAGTTGTATATGTTCCTAGGCAGGTTGATATCTCTGTCTTGAGTCTGCGACTGAAAACACCTGTTGGAGGCATAAAGTCAGAGGTCATTTCCAGAATGATGTGACTTCCAGTGTCAACTAACAGTTGCAATGTGCACAAGTCTATATGCAGTCCATCTAGCCTCTCTCTCTAGAAAAATGTGGAGAGAAGGTAGATCTAGAAGGATCTCCATGGCCGCCGATAGTGTGGTACTGATGACCAAACAAGTCTCCGTAAGCCAGAGAGCTTCGCCTTAGCCATTTTCTGTAAAGCCTTCGGCCACCAAGAAATTGAGCACCATAAGTGATCATTGGGCTGACAATCATCACATGAACCCAATGGATTTGTTTGGGACCTAATCCAAGTTTCATCACAAATCCTTCGACATGACCATAGGGACAGTCTGTCTTTCTGTAATTACCAAATTCACCTAAAACACTCACTTGGAGAGTTTGGTAATTAGATTAGGTAAATTAGAACTTCATGGTATTTAACCAACATTAGCGCAACTGATTTTGTCATTTTGTCATATCGGATATTGTCGGGACATTTCATTCAACATAGTACGCGGTTTGGTTTATCAACTGTTCTCATTCTGATGTCAAATTTATGAGGCATTCTCCCTAACTCCTCAATAATCCCCAAGAAAAAATTAAAGAGTTTGGTGAATCACTTAGTCTATCAGCAGCCTGAAGAAATAAAGATTAAATATCATGAGAGATGGAGTGTTATCGTTTACGCTGATTCGTCCTGTATACAAACCAGAAACCTTTTGTATTCCGTGTTCATTTTCAAATAATATTGTCATAAAAAATGTATCCATATTCTAAACAGTTCGTTTACAGAATAATTAAAATACGTACCACACGAATATATAAATCCAGTGTGTCATACGATCGGTCACACCTTTGAAATTATTCCGTCATTTCGAACAAACTCTTGAGAATCTAGAAAATACCTATCTGGTAAGATATAAGAATGTTAGATGAATTGAAGTAATGAAATTATCATTAAAAAATTTTCATATCAAAAAACACATCGAACAATATAAATGTCTGTGTTAAACGAAAATCGTGTACAGATCAGCCTTTGATGAATTTAAGTCAGTCTCTTTTGAGATCGAGGATCATCTACTAAAAATCGCACGTTAAACCTTTAGGCAAGAATAATGTAAACATAGTTGATAGATGCTCACTGATCCCTATCAGAGAAAGAAGAGAGACTTCAAAAAGGACACGAAGATTACATGAGATGCCACATCAACAGAAAGGAAGGTGTACAATACCTCGAAGAAACTTTTTTTTGAAATGAGAAGGGATCATCGCTGATACCGCTTCACATTCCCTTTGCCTCAAGGGTCTTGAGAAAAATGTTACATTCCCTCTGCCTCAAGAGTCTTGAGAAAAATGTTCTGCCGAGTCCAATTATATCAGTTCTAAGTTCTAGATATTCGGTCAGCCACAGCTTTTTGTTTCAAGTTATTCAGCCGCTGCAAATGAAAACATCCTCTTTCTTGAAGGATTCAAAGCACTCAGGAGGAAGTCGAAGCTACAGAACAAGGTAAACCATAAAGTGTCAACGTAGAAAGCCTTTACACCTATTAAGATGTTCATATCGAGCACTTCAGATCATCCCGTTTCACCTTTGTTAGGTTGGCAAAGTTCATGGACAAATGGAAAGAGGGTGAAGATGGACTAACCAAATGATACCCAAATGAGTGGGTGGATATGTGGACCTCATGGTGAAGTAGAGTACTGTCTAATTCGGTTGCTTTAGATCTAAAAATGAGAAGTACCAATATTATGAAGAAAAAAAAACGATTCCGAACCTACAAAAACCCAAATAGGAACGGAAAAGTCTCATTGAAAACAGAATTATTGTATGGCTAGAGAAAAAATATGAAGTGATGACATTGATTATCAAACCGAAAGAAAAAGAAAACAGAATTACGTAACTATAGGAAAGGCAGGTCTCTCACTGAAGTAATGCGCAAGCGGTTCCAATAATAACAACCATGTAACCCTCAACAAATTCACTATGGAGGACGAAATGGTTCCTGTATTCCAACGTTGCACTGTGGTTGTAAAATAACTACGAATATTATTGAATTATCTGTCTATTTGAAAAAATCTGTTCAAATCTGTGTTTCCGTTAATCAGCTGTCGCCCCCATACGAACGACAACTCTCAGAAGTTTAGAAACTTGTGCGAGCTAACGACTAACGAGGTCTTATCATTTAACGTGTGATTCCTAACACGGTTGCAGAATCATTCCAGCTTCAACCAGTTAAATTCTCTTGAGAAAAATATCTGGTCGAGGCGGGAATCGAACCCACGGTCTTCCGAACGTGAGTCGGGCGCACTACCACTGCGGCCAATTTCACAACATTATCGAATATATATGAATGTTTGTTATTCAATTTGTTCTCCCCCATATTGTGTTCATGTATGAACACACCTAAAGAAGTTGTTGTATAATGAAATACTTGTTAAGATTTTGTAAACTGTGATTAAATTTCCCAAATTTCTTTCTTAGCGTAGTTGTGCTTCCATATTGGTTAACATATCGATCTGTAGCACGTCTCTCTCTAATCTCATAAATCTTATCCTGGATTTCAACTTGATGTATTTCATTTTCAGATCTCAGGATGTGGTCTACTCGGCGTGGGACTCTGGCTCAGGATAGCATACGAGGGATATGCGTCGTTGCTTCCCCAGTATGCGCTGTTGAGTGTTGATTCCCTGGCCATAGCATTCGGAACGATAACATTTGTGTTCTCTTTTTTTGCATGCTGCGGTTCCTGGTTCCAAAACAGGTGCATGCTTATAACGGTAAGGAATTTGCAAAATTATATTAATCGAATTATCTGAAAGTTGGGGATATGGGAATACAACAAAGCCCTAAGGAAATGCAATAGAAACTAATGGAAGAGGCAAATAAGCGCTAGATTGTATAATAATGGAAGAGGCAAGTATGCGCTAGACTCTATAAGATGCTCTCAAAGGGCTACTAAAATGAGGAGGCCAGATATTACAAATCTAATACACATTAAAGAAATGAGTGAACTGTATTCAAAAATAGTTATTTTTGTATTGAGTGCGTAAAATGAGTGTTTTTTTAATGGCACATGAGAGTGTTAATTTTCAAAAATTCTCTTGAATATGCCATGAAGGTACGAATTTTATACACGAAATACAAACAACATTTTTTGTACAACTGTAAAAGTGAATTCACATAGTCTGAAATATATTAAAAATAAATACTTCCAATACATCTTGACGTGGTTTTGTGTCCCGATAAGTTATCGATTTTGCACGACTGTTTTCTTGAAAATATTTTTTAATGTTTTTAATGAAATCGCATTCAAAAATGTTTTCTATTTAAAAAAAATAAGTCTAAAATAACTAAATAATTCTTCTCTTTTCCATACATTTCATCCTTAACGTTATGAATACTTCCAATACAATTTCACAGCATGGTAGTGATATCACATGGTAGTGATACTGCACGGTGAAAAAAGTAAACACTTATGTATCAATAGAGATGCAGAAATGTCGAGTTTTTTGACAGTTGTACAAAGAAGTCATTTTTGAATTTTCAGTTAATCATAGTCTGGCCAGGATTTTTCCAGCCAACACACTCGCGATGGGTAGGGGTCGATTCTATAATTCGGATCCTAGACTATTAGAAAAACTATTAGAAAAACAAGCATATTGGGGATGTAGAACAGGCTTGAATACCACTGGATCGACACCAATATATGTACAGGTCAAGTATGACAACAAAAACGGATTTAAGTTAGATCTGACCAAGCTTATTCTCAGTTCAGTCAGGTTGTGATTTCAGCTGATTTTCGTCAGAAAGACAAATGGGTTCATGACTAAGGTGGTGGCGGTATGAAAGTCCTCAGACATCAGTACCGCCCTTCACGGGGTACCCTTACCTGGCTGGGGTAGGATGGATTAAAAATGTGTGCTTGTCATGTTTCTAATGGATAGGCACTATTCTTGCATGTTTGAGTAGAGTAGGGAATATACCTTTGACTAAGGAGGTATTAATGAGGTATAAGAGGGGTTCGATCAAAGTTTCAACCACCTTGAACAAGAGGTTGCAAGGTACTTCATCCACGCCACTGGAAGTCTTAGAAGATATCGACTTCACTATCTCGGGTAGTTCTGTTTCATCCAGAGGATATAAAGAAAGTGAGTTGGAGTTGGAGTGAGATGAATTTCAAACATATTTTGGCAAGAATTGGCTTTTTTATCACATGCGGTATACACGGTCGAAGGCCTTCGAGATGTCTAGTAAAACGACATGGACGTTTCGATTTTGATTCAGTTTCGCGATGGTGTTTTCGACCAGTCTCAGAGCCTGTAACTTAGATTTCAGAAGAATCAGAATATATATACTCACAAGAACAGTAGAGACACAGGTAGCAAGATACTATCCGCAGGGGGAGGGGGGATATAAACTAGTGAACTATGCAAATGGCGTTATTCTAGGATATAATAACAAGATGGCTAGAGAAAAAAGGGTTCGCCATAAGCTCATTCAAATTCATCAATAAGCTCAAAATAGAAAGTGTAGGACCCCTACAACTTCGAAGTGAAGAGTGGGTGGTAAATATCTGTAGGCAGGCAATATTTAGGCAGGAAAAAAAAGGCGGATGAAGTATTGAGACGCATGTACGGAAGGATATGGGGGGCTGACACCGGGAAATATGTATTGGCTGCACTCAATGGTGGTTAAACTCATGATAATGTATGCTTGTTTGGCTACCAAATATGAAACACGGAATTGCTGTTGATAAAAAAGGCAGAGTGCAAAGAAGACTTGCTTGATTGGGAGTAAGTAACTGGAGCGATGAAAACCACAGCAGCTTTGAAGACTTTATCGAGTTTACCTCTTTACACCTTGTAATAACGAGGGGGGCAAGAGTGGGCCAATTCAGACTGAGAAATTCACCTGCACAGAAAATCAAAATTCAGGAACATGTGGAGAATATACTTGGTAGAAACACCTGGTATGCAAATGGACCAAAAATCAAAGGCGGAAAGGAAGTTGAAATGAACCGTGCAGGCAAAAATTTACGTTACCAACACCCGCTCGGTCAATAAACATTCGTCTTGAAGGCCAAAGTAGTAATTAGGGTTCATCACTAAAATTAATAAGTGTGTATTGTTTATATTTACCTAGAAATGTGCACTATTAGTATATCCGCTCGAAGACCGGCACAATGTTTATCGTTTCTGAATAAACTGCTATAAATAAAACGCAAACTTTTTCTTTTTTCCTTCAAAAGCGGTTTTTTATTCTTCTTGTTTACAAAAACTGTCATTCAACTATTTTTCAAAATGTCAAAACAAATACAAAGTGATTCTCATTCAAAATAAAACTCAACATGTATATCTAATGAAGATTAGCTCAACAGACTATTTATTGTAAGTAATACACTAAGAATCGAATAGGAAACTCTCACAAGAAATATTTCCGAAACTAGGGAATATACGGGTATTTAGATTCTGTAAACATTGATGTATTGACAAAAATATGGACTTTGACTTCACTTAAAAGTTGAATTTAATACTCCCTTATTGAATTCTGCTCAGTTTGTAAAAGCCGTTTTGAGATATATTCCAAAAATGTGTAGACCTGTGTAATAGTTTCTGAAGTACTAAATGATTTTTTGGATAGTGCGTTTGACACTTTTCAATGGAAATTGCTTGAATTGAAATTTTCAGCAACTAATTAAATCCGAAACATAGTCTCTGATTGGTTATATATCTCCTAGTACCTATATTACGATGAATTTCAAAAGTAATATAGACTTTTTGGAAATATTGAAATAAAGTCAGAATAGAAATGTAGATATTAAACAGTACATGAAAAGAATATTAAAAATATACGAATATTTATTTCTAGAACTCCATGATCATCGAAATTCTTTTGAAAATTAAAAAAATGGGTAACTCTTCTTTGTATCGAGAAGGAGTAAATACAAATATATAAATGAATGTTAGGAGTTAGATATCTAATACGAATATGAAATGTCCCATACATCACAAAATATACTTGATTGATAGGGTGATTACCCCCTCAGTCAGAATTCAAATTTCTGGTAAGATTTCCGACGAATACTTTATACGATTATTTGAGCTAAGCGGTGAGAACATTTTGCGCTGCCTAGAGAATTTCTACTTTGCTTTAATTTCAAAACAAGGGAAAATGTTAATATTTTTTATATTCAATATTTGTCTTTTGGGTTTGTATAATAATTTGTCCATATTGGAAATTCAATAACATTTTCATTTCGTTAGTTGGTTTTATTTATTGATTTTTTTCAGTATTTCACACTCGTGGTTTTGATGTTTCTGGCAGAATTCATCCTCGGATCCCTTGCGTTTGTTTTTAGAGACGGTTTGAGACACACGCTACGTGAGGAGCTCCAGAACGGTCTTATGCATCACTACAATATGACATCGAATGGCCCGAACAGTTTGGTGCAGATCTGGGATAATATCCAAATCAAGGTAACGTTTTTCTTTAGTGAAAAAAATTCATATTTTTCGATTTGTAAATATATAAATGTACTTATGTACACAAATGAGCACATACACAAACAGTATCTTTGTTAAAGTGTAATCTTGTACAGGACTTGTACAGGACTAACTGAAAAAGTGGTGAGTGCAATAAGACTAGCGTGCAATAAGATTAGCGCCATCAACCCATGTAGTATATGAAAGAGTATCTATTGGTATGAATTTTCATTTACAATGAAATATTCCAATCTCTACGTGAATTTCTAGAAGTGTCGAGTAAAAACACAAGTTTGCAATTGAACATAAGTATCTTTTTAGATATTTATAAAAAATCAATTATGCCCTTTTTGTATCTAAAAAACACTTCTGTCTATGATCATTGTGAAAAGTTATTATTGATCTATTCATCTTTTTCTTCTCTTATCCGGCAGTTCCCACTTTGTACATAGGAATTGATAAATAGTCAAAGAGATTTTTCTTCCTTAAACTAGTCCCACCTAATGAATATTTCCTTTTTAATTAAGTTGTTTTTGTTAAATAAGATGGGGGTTGATTTGAAATTTCTTGTTGAAGACATTTTATTAGGGTCCCAAAAACAATTAATTATAGTGAGGAATGAACTTTCTAAATTTCCTCTTGCCTGCCCCCCGTATAAACTACGGGGGGTGGGCAAGAGATAAGTTAACAAATCCAGATATTTCCGTCAAAGGATAGATTGAGATGGTTGGATATCAGGACTATACTCGTATTTATATATTTCACACAATCTTTGTCGTTTTCGGGATTTTCAAACAGGACTCTAATTTCAGTTCGGTTGTTGCGGTGTCAGAAACTATGAAGACTGGTACATGATTGATGCATGGCCGGACCACAAATGGGTTCCGGATTCTTGCTGTTTCCCGGCGAATTATGATCAGAATTGTGGGAAAGTTTGGGGTGCCGAAGTTTACACACAAGGTTGTTATGCCCAAATCAATAATTTCTTCATCAGGCGATTGGATATCATAGGATTCGTTGGTATCCTAGTGGCTTTTTTTCAGGTGAGCTTAAATTTACCTCAATTTTCATCCAAGCAAAGTACATAGTCAGGTATATCTGAAAAATATTGCGTTGTTGAAAATTTTTTGGATGAATAGAGCTTTCCAAAATCTTTTTTGCGAAGTTGTAGGTTTCATTCAGTCCTAGTTCTCTTGAAACGTCCACTTGAACTGGCTATTTTATTAAAACAACTTTTCATTTTATACAAAGTAGTGCATTAAATTTTTATGCTTATTTATCGTTTGTTATGGCTTTGACTCCAAAAATATGTGTTATCAATTTTTGGGACGACTCAGAATATAACGACATAGTGGTTTCTATAATATCCTAAAAACAGATTTTTTTTTAATTTACAAGGAATTCATCAATTTAATTAATGATCCGAATTTACATAAATTATTTTTCATAACAACGAAAATCAGTAAAAGTGCATGATGTCACCTTCTTTCAAACATTGGGTATTATCGTTGTCAAAGGCTATACATTTATAGGTTAACAGTATGTAACAATGGTTTCTCACTCAGCAATTTCTGAGAATTCACTCATTAGTCTTATTTTGAAATGATTCTGAAAGTGGATGCATTCATCAATATTGAAATTTTCTGTAAATTGATTGTTTTACGGTAGCCAAAATTATATTTGCGAATGACGGTAACTCCTGGTCTTCTTGAACGTGAGGACCTCTGTGTAATGATAGAAAATAATTGAGTTGAGTCAATGAACCTTTTTCCTGAAGTACGAAAAATCACTCACTAGCAGCGCTACTAGTTCGGTAGGGACAAACACTGCCTAATCCTCATATAAACATATGGTAAAGTACAATTAAAAAAGAATGTTTTAACAGAAAAAGTTGTTTCTGGAGCAAAACTAAAATTTGCAACTGTAAAGGATAACACTGTTGTAACATTAAAACGTTGGCTTGCATGCCGTAGTTTAAAAGTAACCGGAAAAAAGTGAATTGATAGACAGGTTAGTATACAAACTCTAGTAAGAGTAGCGGTAGATTCCAACTGCAATAAAATAAATTCAAAATAATTATGAATTTCAGATTTATTTCCGAGTGAAATATGAATCAAATATAGATGGTAATGAAATAAATTCAATGAAATATAATAAATGAATATGATTCAATAAACGATTGAGGTTATATGTCATTCTAATCAATGGTAATTAACTATGAAAAATTTTCTATTCATTTCATGTTTAGAGCATACATATGAATATTTATTTATTTTTTGCACTGTTATATCCACTCTCCTCGAAGCATGTATCCATTTCTTATAGCTAACCTCATTAATATGAGGTTTTATAAATGGTATAAAAAACACGTTTTCTTCTGGATATCAATTAACTGACGTACAATTCGCAAAACAGCAATGCTTTGTTGGCATTCTACTAGCACAACATAATTTTTTATATCGGATTTATATTTTCAAATAGTAAATCAATATTACTTACGTAAATAACACTGTTTCACATGTGAATAGTTTATGTTTGTCCCTACTGCTAGTGCTGCCTCTCGTGACACGTTCGCTGTACTATTCTCAGGAAAAAAGCTCATTAATGTGAATACAAATAAGATATCCTTTGTCTCTTGTGATTATTCTTGTCCATTATTATTATTATTATTATTATTATTATTATTATTATTATAAATTGATGGATGTAGCCGTTAATACATGGTACGTTGAAACGTTCTATGTTTTTATACCACTTTTATTTGTAATTAACGTTACTGCAGTTACGTCCTACAAACGAATACAATGAATTCTTCATTGTATTCGTTGTATTCCTACATTTTCAAACAAATACAACAAACTCTTTATTGTATTCGTTTGAAAATGTCTTTGTAGGACGAAACTTTAGTAACGTTACTTACAAATTCAAGTGGTAAAAAACATAAGAAGTTTTATTTCCCATGTTTCATCATTATTATTGTAAGATTAATAGATTCAAATTGATATGTGTAATTTCATTCTAGACTCAGGATTTTAATTTTCATTTTTTGAACTTGAAAAATAATGAATTTTGTCTATTTAAGTTACCTTCATTCCTGCAGACTTCTCATTTTTTGTACGTGGAACGGTAACAAATAACTTTTCATGTTTCAATTGTAGTAAGTATTTACACACCGAGTCACAGGAGCACCGCACAACACCAACTTAATCTGTGACAACACGTGAAAAAACTTTAGGTAGCCTTAATAGTTTATTACAGTTTGAATGATTCAGTTTGTGGCAGATGTCAGATTCAATAATGAAAATAAACTTTTCAGTTTTGTCTAATCTCAATTAGAATCGGATTCGTGCATACAATAATCTTTTACATAAATATTACAAAATAGCTGCATTTTTAAAACTAGTGTATCAGAATTATTTTTTCTATTGAAAATATGGACCAACAAGTAACAATTTTGACAACTGACGTAACGTAACGTCAAATTCCGTTTAAATCATAATGAATACGTTTCAAGTCATAGTTGATGTGACGTCATCGTTTCAACGCCAGAATGAATGTATTTGATTCACAGACGAATACGTTTTGAATACATGTGTCGTCATAGTGGTCACGTGCCAAATATTGGCATTGTGGAGCGAAATTTGAAACGGAATATAAATTACGTATATAGCTCAAAATCCACCAGAAGAGCCCGTATTCATGGTTTCAACCACTTTCTCAAAAATAAATAACATTTCTATTAGTGGTGACTTCTTATGAATCTTATAAAATATGTTTTTTTTTTCAGCTCTACGGACTGATATCGTCGATGATCCTTTTCTGTACAGTGAAGTATAAAAGAACATCAAGGACTTACAAATCTTATTCATAACGTTATATGAAATTCCTATAATACAATCCTCGCCAAATTGTTTCATAGTAGATGTAGATTCAATGAATGTAGTAGGTATTACACGGGTTTCGATAAACTAAAAATCAAGTTCACATTCACTGAAGTGAACCGCCTGGACACTCTCGTCCCAAGATGAATAAATAATTATTTTGAAACACCGGTGTCCGTATCATTTGGTAACATTTATGTTAATTTTCATAAATTTCTGCCAAGCTTCTGATGTAGAAGATGTAATGAATGTACCTAAGTATGTATGAGGTAATTGCTACAGCTACCATTTTGTTTAGTATTCATTTAGGACAATATCGTGAATTCCTGCAATAAATTTTTTTATTAATATAATCATGAAAAATGTGTAACAAAATATTTTATATTTCCTGTACTCCATAGAAATGACGTTTTAATGAAATTCCTCATCATAATGTCAACTGAAATATAGTAAAATATCAAATATATTTTTTGAGTCACACAAATTTTGTGAAAAATGTACTTGGCAGATTTCCACAAGTGATATTTCACACATGTAGTATGTACCTTGGAGAAAAGTGATATTATTAAATGTAGGAGAGAAGTGTATTTAATGTATTTATTTGATTCATACAACCGATCATGTCTTGATGTATTTCTAATTCATGAAACTGTGAAAATATATAGACGCATGTACACAATACCTTGGTTTTGTGAGGAATTGACCATTTTTCTGACAAAAAAATACTTATCAATAAATAGTAAAATACGAAATTACTGTATAGGTGTACATTCATTTATAACTGAAGATGATCTGATTTGAAACTGTTTCTTATTAGTATCTAGGTATATTAAGTAATGTAAATAATCCAAATAAGAATTTATATTGATGTTGATCATGTTAATGTATAAACGAATAAAATTGTTTCAATTGTGTTTTATTTCTGACCTCATTGTGATCTAGAGTCGATTTGGTATATGTTGCATATATTCGAAGTACTAGAAAAACAGTTTTTATTTATTTAAACGAGCAAATAGCCCCAACTTGTCAAAACATACTGTCTGTGGTAGAACCAAGCTTCTAAATCGACAAATAGGAAATTGGTAAAGATTTTGGCTTTCTATTTCTCCATATTTATACAAACTCATTAGTGACATAGATTCGTAATTGTATGAATGAATTGGGTGCTGCATCTTGCAATGTTATCCAGAGTGGTGCTGAAGAAGCAATAAGGAAAGTGTCTTATTCCGAAACATCGGATATGTCCGCCATTGAGGATGACGGTGTTCCATGAAAGTGAAATCTTCCTCTTACATATACTATATTGTGTATCAATCCCCTGTGAATAATATCTGATTCAATTCCATAACGAGTGTTTGGTGTACAAACAAAACGTAATACATGAAAGAGTATTAATATAAAATGTAACTTTAAAGTTTCGAGACAAGACAGTTATCACCTCATAAGTACCGTTTCATGTACTTCTCAATGATGGAAAAGTAGAAAGTCACAGACATTTTTTCTCAAAAGACTATTCTCTGGATTCCCAGGAATGAAGTTCAATTAGTAATCTCTCATGTGTAGTCTATACGAAATCAATCCGAAAAGCTAAATGAAAAAGTAATGTACCAAGTCTGATGAATTTACTAGTTAATACCATATAAAACCTCCCACATGAAAATTATGATTAGACCTATATGAATTTCTTACCATACAAAGAAACTGCCGACGTTCGGTAACTATTTAGTTTTTATGCCATTCGAATTTACATTGTATATATTGTATATATATATGTTTCAAAAAATGAAACAATTAGTGGACACAACACTCCAAAAGTGGGGCAAACCGCGGACACGTGTTTCTGGCTATTGGCCTCATCAGCGCGGTGCAGCCAAGTGTAAAGATGGGCAACACCCATCCGAAAGCAGGAAAAAACACATATGCACGGAGTCAACAACAGGAGCCAACCGCACATTTGTGGTTCCAGTTAGAAGACCTAGAATTCCCAGGCTACATCTAACATGACCACAAATGTGCGGTTGGCTCCTGTTGTTGACTCCGTGCATATGTGTTTTTTCCTGCTTTCGGCAAACAAGTGTTGCCCATCTTTACACTTGGCTGCACCGCGCTGATGAGGCCAATAGCCAGAAACACGTGTCCGCGGTTTGCCCCACTTTTGGAGTGTTGTGTCCACTAATTGTTTCATTTTTTGATTTTTATATCATACCCACTCGATAAAATTTCTCTTTGTATTTATATCCTGTACCCGGATGTCACGCAGGTAGCTATAGCTGCCTACGCGGTCATGTTAGATGTAGCCTGTTTTTTCAATTAAGTTTCAAGATGTTTCGCCCCTGGCTAGAGGCTTTTTCAATTGTTTATTTGAAATTTTATTTTTTATAACACATTGGATATTTGACTGGTTTCCTGAAATATAATACAATTTTTTGTATTACTGTTGTTTTTCTTTTGAATTGATTCATTTGTTGAATGTTTATAATTTTTTGTTTTGTACGTACTTTGCTTAAAATTATTGATAACTTTTCAAAATGTAATTAATGTTGAAGTGCTGTTGTTCTTCTTATTCGATGGTGATTATTAGTAAAGGTTCTGGTCATGTTTTCTTATGTTTTTGGTGTTTATTTTTTGGGAATCGGACTGAGCGTCGTTGTCTTAAAAATGGCAGGTGGAGGGATCTTCTGTGTGTGTCGTTTCGGTGATTGAAGGAGATGAGGGCGGAAATGACGTGTTCATGTGTTGGGATTTGATATGATATATATATTATTCGAAATTTACTACAACAGTCAAATCATCTGGCTAATCCAACCAATTTCGAACCTGCAGTATTCAAAGAAGTGGTCACTTTCCTTCCAAATTCCTTCACGGCAGTAAATGGTAACTGAAAACAAAAAAGGAAATGAACTGACAAAATGAACCTCGATTTCAAAATAATAATTAATTTGTGATAAGTCAATTAGTTGTGAAACTGTCAAACATGCTAAATGCTAATAAAAATTCGTTGGCGTTCTGTATACGCATTCGGAGTTAAAAGGAAATAATGTTTTCAAAGAAATTCATGTCGGAGCTTTCAGCGAAAGTTCTGATCATCACGCCAATATCATCGATCTTTCAGATAGCTCCAATCTCTGCGAGAGAAATGAGTTGAACTTTCTAGTTATTCATCAGCATATTCTGTGTTTCTATATTGACAAGTTTTTCCGACAGTTCCGTGACTCAGGCAATAACCATGGGAAGATTGCTATCTTCTACGGCCAGAAAAGTGAGAATCTCTGGAAGGGAGATTGACTGGCAAGCGCTGGTAAAGTACCTCGGCCTTCTAATAGACCGTAGGCTAACTTGGAATCCGCACATTATGTGTGTTAAGTCAAAGATCGAGGGTCGGATAGCAAGTATGTACCCTCTGATCAACAGAAAATCTAAAATGAGTATGAAGAACAAGATTACCATCTACAATAACAATAAAATGTTCAAGCCTGTCATCATGTATGCGGCAGGCGTCTGGGGACAAGCGGCGAAATATAATATCTCCATTCTGGAGGTATTGCAAAATAAACTAATGAGGATGATTGTGAATACTCCTTGGTTCGTACGAAATGAAGCCATCCGCAGAGATTTGAAGCTGCCTTCCATTCGGCAGTCCATTCAGACGAGGAATCGGCGAGTTTTTGAAGGTGCGGAAATCCGTTAGCCAGGGAAGCTATAGATTATGCTGTAGACGACCCCTCCCGATATAGAAGGTCCCGACACTCTGTCGAATGAGGCCCCCATGTCCCCCCTTAAAAGATGAACAGATCTTTCATCCATCCCACCCCAGCCAGGTAGGAGTACCCCGTGAAGGGCGGCACTGATGTCTGAGGACTTCATGCCGTCAACATCCCCTCAGTCATGAACCCATTTGTCCTTCTTCGACAAAGATCAGTCAAAAGGGTAAGGGTGCTGTGCTCCAACCTGAACAATCTTAAGACGACGTGCAGTTCCGTGACAAATACGACATTTTTCTCGTGACACACACATTGAAAGTTATGTCCTTGGTTACGTCTTTCAAACCGTATTGAATATTCCCGTAGAAACTGATCTTGATGTTGCAGACCATTTTTCTTCTCTTACAGATGTCGAGGTCATACTTCTCTTCGATCTCTTTGAGAATTACTAATGTACCAATTTTTTTGGTGCAGGGAATATACCAGCGGCATTAATACAAATTGATTGGCATTAAAAATGTTTGTAAAGATTTCGAAGAATTTTTTCAACTTTAAGCCTTAATAAGAGGCAATCACATGTATTTAATTTGCTATGTCAGCCTTATTATATTATCTTTCATTAAGCACATTCTATCTTTGAATTTAAATAAAACAAGGTGTGTGTGAGATATAATCGAAAATTTTATTCGTTTGGAAGACCAGTTGATGCCAATCCAATTTTCCATGACTCTGGCGCTTAAATCAGGCTGATTTCGACCGATCGCATGGATTTTATTGGCTTTGAAGACCGCTGTGGTTTGTGGCTTATTCAGATTCAACTGCGACTTGAAAAACCCCACAAGAAAAAATCTACCAGGGTCAAATCGCACGATTTCGGTGGCCAATTCACATCACCTTCACGTGAGATGATCATGCCCTCAAATAGCTCGTGCAGAATATTCAATGTGGCCGAAGTTACGGCCCTTCAAAGTTCAGAAAAGGGCAACTTTTCAGCCTTCTTTTTCACAAAATAAACTATTTAAAAACACAAGCATCTACTCACTAGGTCACCTTTACACCTTATTCCTCCTTCTTTGACACTTTTCACTTCAATAATGAACATTTTTTATAGTTTATTTTGTGAAAAAGAAGGCTGAAAAGTTGCCCTTTTCAGAAATTTGAAGGGCCGTAACTTTGTAAATAAGGGAGAGCGCCGCTTTTTTCCTTTCGGATTCGTAATCTACGCATCAAAATACTTAAGTACACGCAAAATTTTTTTCAAAATCGCCGGGTGTCCTCAAAACGAAAATTTACCAAACTTTCTTTCGAGAACCGTATAAATTTATCTTTCCTGAATTTCTCAAAAAATTATATTCACCTCGACTGCTGCATTAAGAACATTAGACAAGGCTTCGACTCCACCGACAAATGCTGTCCCAGCTGCTCGAAGCTTGCCCCCATCATTTCCGTACTTTTCATGCTCTTGAATAGTGTCCACAATTGGTTGCGGATTTGCGAAATTGGCAATAAATTCCTGAAGCCTGCCATATTTATCATCCAGCTTAATTGGAATTGTTTCCAGATACCTCTGCTCCTGAACAGCCATGGTTCTTCCAGAGTCCGGAAAGGGAGGAACAAAAGAAATGGTCTGAAATAAATATATTATAGAATTGAAAATTTTGAATCACCTTCAGTGAAGAAGCGAGATTTCTGGCACTGCTCTCGTCTGTTTAAAAAAGAAGTCGTATTTTGTATTTTTTTATATAGTACCAATTTTTCAATTTTTCAATTGTGAGATTCAATGAGTTAGTACCCTGCTGGTGATAAAAGTTTTATTCATACCTCAAAAAAAGGTTTCGAAAATTGTATGTTGAACATAGATAACGATCATTACTTTGCCTAAGTTCTTCATCATACTGTTATAAATCATACCCGAAAGAAAATAACGCAGGCCGCCACTGTTAGCCACAAACCAATCGTGATGTAGCTAAGAGCACGCGAATGTACGATGTTCCCTGCCGCTCTAGAAGCAACGAGAATAATGCTACCGATTTCCATAGAACTTTAGCGAAATCTTTACTGCATTCAATTATGATATATAAATGCTACCCACGAGCATATCGGGACAGTCAAGTGGAAGATAAGTGCGGTACACGAAGCGATCAAGTAAGGCGATACACATTCGAATAATAGTTGAAGTTTTAGTTGAAGAGATTGTTGTATTTGAAGTGAAATAAAGTTAAGTTTGATTATTCAGTGACAGGTAACAATACCTCAATTACACTAAAAACTTTGATAATTTTAGTGAAAAAGAATAACTCACCTTTGCTTTTGCCGCACTGCTTACAGCATTTCCCAAGTTTTCGTTCAAGTCACTTAGAGGGTTCAGTATGGCATTACCCTGTACAACTACGGAAGTTTCAACATTTTCATTTGGGTAGATGGGAGAAGCATAATTCATAGAAATTAATGAGCATATCAATAAAACCAGCCGAATGTCTTCTGAACTGAAATAAAAAAAAGTTTTGTCAGAAGAGGGTACCTACTGTAATTTACTGGTCTAGAAAGAAGTATTTTCCTGCACAGAAAATAATTTTTTTCCAACATTATTTCACTGTACACATTTTTTTGTTTACTTGACATATTCAATAAAGATTAGTTGCAGAAATAAATGGGAGTAAAAAAGTTTATTTGCCAGGTAATTGCATATGTACGAAGGCCATACATCTTTTCAATTCACTGAATTCCGAATTTGAAATTTGAATTTGACGAAATTCCAAGTTCGAAGGCGGAATTTAACAATATTTCGTGATTGAAGTCGGAATGTATTGAGAATTTTATCAAATTTCGACTTCAAATTCGGAACATTTATTTTTATACACTCTCGTATATATGTTTAATAACTACGGTGTTTAAAATATTGGACACCCCTTCGAATGATTCGAACATTTTATGACAAATTCTTTCTATTTAACGATAACTTTGCATTATGAAAACTTTCAACACGGACGCAATCATTCATCAAGACAAATAACGTTCGCAAGGGCGATTATTGTTGTAACTGTTGGAGGTATGACAAAAACCCATTTTTCATACTCACATTATAATTTTCATTCTTATGAAACTAGGAGACATGTTAATGCAGAACAAACTGGTACTATTCTGTCACCACAAATAATATCCACCTATTAACTAACATATTGGCTATTAGCGGACTTGACCTCTTACTCAATCCATTTGGAAAGATGACTGCAAATGAACTAACTAACTTAAAGAAACTTTCACCTGTTCATGTACATCGTGGATGAATACCTACCTAGACTGATAGAATAATTCACTTTCACTTTCATTGGACTTGTCAATACGAGGGGAGAAAATATAATTCTCCATTTCAGTCTTCTTAGACATATACGTCATTCCTGCAGCGAGGGCGTTGAATACCACTACTAGGTAAGGGACCACTTGTGGAGATAAGAGCTCTCTTAAATGAAGGCCCCATCCTAAGGTGTGTGTGAATCAGGAATAATTTGTGAAACGGAGTCCGCGCTGTCACACTCGAGCTTCCGAGATACAGGATCTCTCTTTTCACCGAGGAGGCTAAGTGGTATCTGTATCTAAAGGGTAGGGAGGGTGAGTGTAGGCCCACAGCACTTAGGCCACATGTGACCCATTGTACATCCTCCCGAGGAGTTGTTCTTCTAGGTCATCGTCCATCCTGTCCTTTCCAGGAAGGTGGACAGGTTACTATGAGACATCTTTATATCGGCAGGTGTAGGCCAAGACTCGCCGAACACACACTTTCTTATTGATGATAACTTCGGAACTCGCATAGGACATGCCTGAAGAGGCTAAGTGGCACAGCCCCAGGAAGACTTACCGCTTCATCAAGGCTAATATTTTTTGAATCTGCCTTGCACTAAATTCTGGAGTAGCAGAAGCCCAATCTGCATCAGGAGAGAAACAGACTGCTCTTGAGCAAATCACCAAACGCTCAGGTTTCAAAATTTTAAGCGTTCATCAATATTTTATCCGGAAGCAAATACCAACAGGTGATATGTCACCCACCTCCAACATTTGATCGATAATTACTTAGACTTTTGGATCTCAAATTGTTGCGCTTCAGAATTCCAAGACACTTACGCGTGTCTGTAGGATACTTTACCATCAACGCAGGTGTTTTACAAGAAACCATATTGTTCACAACTCTTTCTAGTTCACAACAATCTATGGGGAAAGACCACAAAGCCAATATTTTACTTAACTGAGAACAGCAACAATTGTTTCTTCTTTCTCTTTGGGTGCCCAAATATCAGCTGCTAGGTGAATGTGATAGAATCGATCGTCATAATTCCGTTATTTGAAATCAATTTGTTGTGTTTCAAATTGGATACCAATTTATCTTGGTATAATCACATTACATTCAGTTTCTCCGAAACTTGGAATACTATTTCGAGCTATAAAGTTATATACATCTCAACAACTTTGATGCATGCTTTTATATTGCAAAAATTACACCTTCTTTGAAATATTGCAGGGGGCTTCGTTCCTAATAAGCATAGCAAAAAAAATCTACAAGGGTGCTTATTATTGGTTCGTTCGTTATTAAAGTGAAGCTAGGCAACGAGATTTTATATAGATAATTCTGGAATATGTGTGCCTGATTTTAGGGAAATATAATTCAGGAGGGTTCAAAGTAATACCCCACAAAGAACAAATAAAAATTCACTTCTTGCTGTCCAGAAATTCACTGTTCTGCAAAAAAGCTCTTCAACTATATTGGTTTCAGGAAACAAAATAAAAATGCCACCTTTACTTTCAAAGTGATTTACTACGTAAAACAGAATCAATGCAATCTTTTTTCATATAGCATCGGTTTGTTAGGCAGCTTGATTTATTTTCTCGCTCAAAAACCAAAGAAGGCTCAGGATATGGAGTCTACTCCATATCACTGAAAAGAAAGCTAGAAAACTAAATTTGATTTTGTAAAAAGATGTTAATATTTCTGTAATAGTTTTCTAATAAATATATGTGATCATGAAAGACAATTTTCTTTCTTTCGTTATTTTTATATTTCATGTTTTTCTACTGCTCCACCAAACCAAACCCCGTGTACAGACAGAGACGGCGGAGGAATACATGGTCATTTTGCTGAAGTAATCATTCAGAATTTGTTTCGATATTTTTAGACGAAAATATTTGGATTTTCAGTTTAACTGAATGAATCGAAAACAAGCACTTTTCACGATCACCAGAAATGCAATACAATTTCACTTTCCGATACACGCCAATGAATTTGGCGAGAAATTTTTCATGCAACCTAATTTTCTATTATATTATTTTCCACAGTCAAATTTATCAAAAGTTCAGGGCAATGAATACTCATTTAAATTAGTTCACTTTTA